TTCTTAAGGTATCCGACTACGTTCGAAACCGTGATTTTGCAAAAGCGTATAAATAGATAATATTTATGATATTTAGTGTCACTTAGATTAGAAAATGTATATAAAATTGTTTTAAGAATAGTATTACAATAAAAAATTATTTAAGTACATTATTTTGACAAAAATTTAACATAGAATGACCCATTTTCTAAATATTCTCTTTTTGTGAAAAATACTTATACTATAATAATATTTCACCTGTATATTGCTCATACCTCTGTACAGAGGCTCAACTAGAATTTTTGAAATATATAACTTAGAAGTGGGTTTATCCATGTTTTACGACAACAGAGGGGAGAAATTTTAAGAAAAAAACGCCGATAATTATTTCAATTGGTGGTAACTCTGAAAATAATGTGAATTTTTCAAAAGTTCTGGTTGAGCTTTTGTAGAGAGGTCCCAGCTATAAACAGGCAAAATATTATTATAATAGAAGCACTTTTCCCAAAAGAACATTTTGAACAAAGATTATTCTAAGTTACTTTTTTGTCAAAATATTGTTTTTAAATCATTTGTTTATGTCAAATTGTCCTTAAAACAATTTTATACATGTATTCTAATCTAAGTGACACTAAATATCACAAAAATTACCCATTTATACGCTTTTTTTAAAATCACGGTTCCAAACGTAGTCGGATACCTTAAATTTCTTCATTGTTTACGACAAATTTTAACTCTTATTAAACATGTCACATTAGAGATAATTTAGTACTTTTTACAGGTGTATTTTGTAAGATCATGTAATTGGGGAGTAATCTTCCCAAGACCACGAATGATTTAAACATGTCACATTAGAGAAAATTGACTACGATATATTTGGGAAATGAAGGGGGGTGGAATTTGTTTAGTGTAGTCATGCATCATTCAAGTTTACTTCTTTTTCTTTTGAGAGAAAAATGGGAGACGTGACATAACAAAAAAGATTGCTGCAGTGACAACAGGCCTTTGTCCATCATTCTTTGCTTGAGAAAGGGGGATCAGAAAACTTCCAGAGACGGCTTAGGTTGAAAAAGAGATCGATTGAACTTCGTGATCGATTTTTTCCCTTCTATTAAACAAACATACTGCCCCGTGAGAATTTAAATCTTTTAAAAATTGTAAAAACAAAAGAATTACCAAAAGAATTTTTTTTTATTTCTTTTGGGGCTGCGGATGGGTGTTTCACCACTGCGGACCTAGTACATTCTCTAGAATTCTTACCTCTTTTAGTGCTGCACCATATAGGTGGAATACCAATCACTGCAAGTATTTTTTATGCCCAGTTTTCTCTCCAAAGGGAGGCATTTGTCCAAAAGAATTTTAAAGTGATGTATTTTTAAGTATCAACAATTTTTAAGCTATAACGGATGGAAATTTCTTGGTGAGTTACTATTATATTTAAATCTCGATGCCATCAAAGAAACTCATATATAATAAGAGTAAGTTTCAACTTATATAAGTATCAATTACCTTCAATTATACCTAAATGTGTCGTGATGTGGAAGTTTTTGTGTGAAATACCACCTTATAAATCATCCTCCTCATTTTAACTTTTCTCTCTTTCTTTTTATAAATTCCTTCCTTCCTTCCTTCCTCAGTGCTCGACAGCCCAGAGTGGGCCTTGGCCTTCTCAAGAAGCCTCTTCCAGGCCAACCATCTACTTGCTAATGTTCTCCAATTCTTAGTTCTCAAAACTAAGATATCTTTTTCTAGGCCATCAATTCATCTAAAATTTGGCCTGCCCTTTCTTCGTGTGCCTATTAGTTGGGCATTGAAGACTTTTTTAGTGTGGTGCCGTTTTCGTCCATTCTGACAACGCTTGTAATGTATTTAATCCATTCTGACAACGCTTGTATATACATATATATATATATATATCAGGATAGAATCCCCCCCCACGTAAGGCTATCACCTTCTAGGGGAAGGAGCCCCAGAGTTTGAGAAACGCTGGAGTAGTCAGATGAAAGATTCACTTATAAAAATGGAACATTGCATTTTTTCACATGCTGCCACATCTGCAAAAACCATTCTACATTCATTTATGCGATTCATTCTATATTTATTTCAGTAAAATAGTGTTCTTGTATTTTTAAATTTAGAGAAAAAGGCCCCTTCATTTATATATTTACAATATTTAAGGATAATCAGTATTAATACTTTTGCATATTATTTTGTCTATAATGTTTTTATGCATAACATGCAGCAGTGCATAAACTGGATACCTTCATTTAATGGGTAACTTTTGGGGTGGCTATTTTAAGAACTGGTCCTAAGAACCGTCAAACAGAAATGCTGCTGTGTTAATTAATTAGGCCTCGAAGTCATCAAGTATTCTGGCATGACTATTGATGATAAGCTCCAGATCACATATTATCTTTGACACCTTATCATCGCTCTAAATCAGGGGTACTCAACCTTTTTTTTCTGCCGGGCCATATACATATGTTAGCTATTTCACACCGGTCGGGGGTGCGGATTAATGGCGGGGGTGGGAGGAGAAATGATTTTAAGACCAGGATAATATAGAAAATTTAAAATATGGAAATTGATCAAAATATTAAAGCTCTTATTTTGCTTTTTTAATCATTTTTTTATATTTTTTATTTTTGTCACTGAATTTTTTAAATTCGAAGCATTTAAGAATCGCTCCATTACAACTTCTACATCAGTAAACTGTTTCATATGATTATCAATTATATAAACTTCATAGGGTGCCTTTGTTACGCCTGTGACATTGCCACTGACAAAAGACTTTTACCGTTGTAAAGATTATTCAAGAAAGCCTTTTTATTCCCTCTTGAAGGAGATCTTCAAAGAAAAGTATTGAACGATTCTCTCTCTCTTGTTTATTGGTATTTTTTAAATGCAACACTTTTTCGTGACAAATCAAATAATTACTGTGTGATATCCCCCTAGGGTGAACATCTCTTTGAGTATTTAACGGAAGAACTAGAAGCATACATTATCTTAATATGGTTTGAGCATACAATCTATTTTACATAGTATACACACATAGGAAGACACCAAAAATTTTAAAAATTCCTTAAATTAAAAAATTTTGCTTAAATCGTACCATGTCCCCTTAAGTGCTTTTTCTAACTTTCATTTTAAAAAAAAACTGCTAAGCGCTTTAAGCACCACTATATATTTTTTGTTCTCTCAAATACTACAATAATAAGGTTTTTAAACTGACGTTAATTTGTTTTAGTACATCGAGCGCGTTGATGTGATTCGAAACAAAAAATGGCTTGTCCGCAAATTGATTAGACTCATACGTCACGTGCGTGTTCAAACGTGTCCTCACCTTCCGCATGTCATATTGTAATACAAATATTTATTTTGTACTGTGGCCATTATTTTACGCAGTATTGTATGCGTTTTGCTTATTTTATTAAAAAATAATGCACTCATGAACACCTTAATCAATCGGGGCTGTAATCTCTTTACGTAAATGGAGAAGATTCCTGAATTGTTCGACTCCAGGTGAGATTACGACACACAAATTCAAAAGTAGTGTATAACATATGGATAAGAACAAGTATAAGTCATAATCCAAACATTGAATGGTATTGTCAGTGCAAAAAAATGATGCTACAGTTGTTGGCTGCAGTGCACATGTTGCATCTGTACTTTGGTACTTGGGATACTGGCGCCATAATCACACTCAGAGAAAAACACCAAGTCTTGGATACGTTGATACACATCAAGACGTTGCTACTGGATGGTCTAGAGACGATTCAGCCAGTGAAAGCGAGAAGAAAATATAATCGAAGACATTTGTTAAACATAGTTTAACATTGTTAATTTTTTTTCCTGTTTTCTCTATTTAATAAAATATTTTTTGGAAAAAAACCTAACATTTTCATTTTGACTGAGTATCAGTGTTAAAAAAAATACATAAAATTTGAACTTGCCGATGGGTGAAAAAGGCCGATCTTTACCCCCCTTCTTTCTCAATCAAATTAATTTTTAATTACCGAATGTAAGCTAATCCGTGTAAAAACCGTGAATATTTTCCAATCAAATTGCTACAAAGTAAAACTCCAGACGTCAACCTCTTTACTTTCGGTTCAAGGCTCTTTAACGTTACAGTCACTACTTTTGGAACCGTTAGTATAATTTTAGCTAAAATATACGCATAAAATTGTTTTAAAAATGTTACTGTAGTAAAAAAATATTTGAATGCAATTTTTTGCCAAAAAAATGAAGAATGATTCAAAATGTTATTCTTTTATGAAAAATGTTTCTACAATAAATAATATTTTGCCTATGTATTGCTAAGACTTCTTTATACGGGGTTAAACAAATGTTTTTTAAATATGGGAAGTGGATTTATTTATATTTTATTTTATCAGAGAACAGAAATTTTAGCAAAAACACCTGTTATTATTTCATTAGACCGTTCCTCTAAAATAAAGTGAATTTTTCAAAAATTTTACTTCGGCTTAGAAGTTCCAGCTATTTACAGGCAAGATATTATTATTACAGAAGCATTTTTCATAAAAGAATGCTTTGAAAGTGTGTCTTTTTTTTTATATCCAAAAAAATGCATTTAAACCGTTTTTTCTAGTAATAATATTCTTATAACAATTTTATATGTGTATTCTAATTATACTGACATTAAATATCAAACAAGTATTATTACAAAAAATTATGTCAATGCTCCTATTTATGTCAACAAAGAAATTTTATTTTAGTTACTTTTTTAAATAGTTACAATTAATATAAAATATGTATATACATATGTTATTAATAATACATATATATACTATTAATTGGCAAGATAGAAAGAATATAGAAAGGAAATATAACCACATGGAAGGAAAAATGGAAAATTGCGATTTTCTTTGCAATTGTACATTTTCCTTTCTATATATGTGTTGAGCTAATACTTTTGATTGTTTTTATTTATTCATTCATTAAATTTAATTATTCCAATAAAACAGTATAGTAAAAAGAAATCACACTCTCTGAAATTAGGCCATCCCAGGTGGTAATTGAACCCACCATCTTTGGAATAGAAGTCCAACGCGCTATTCATTGCACTACAGGGACACAAAGGGCAACTTTCCTTTTTATAAATGCTGTTGGACTATTATTTGTGTTTATTATTATTTATTCTTTAATTAAATTTAATGAATGAATTAATATTTGAAAAAGCTGTATTAACATCTAGTGTCATCCACTACAAGTTTAAAAAAATGTATTTGAATTTGAGTGGATGAATAAAAAGTATTTTATTAACGAGATTGAAAATTTGAATGATATATATATAAAGGGAGAGAGTGGAAACTAATATAGTAGAGGAATTGGAAGACTATTCAAATTTATACGCTTTTTCAAAATCGCGGTTCTAAATATAATTAGGCGCTTTAAAGAAGGTCTTCAAAAAATCTCAGCTTATACATGAAAACAAAACATATGGTAACTTTACAAAAGTAGAAATCGAAAACTTAATAAATTATTTCCTAAATCCAAAATACAATTTTTTTATGAAATAGGATAAGTTATCGCAGCAATACATAACGCAGACTGACAACTTTAATTCTTTACCTTTCAATTTTCTATGCAGTTGCACCGCGAACTTTATATTTTTGAAAAAATATCCGGAGACCCTAACAGACACCTCGAATAACTCTCCTATATTTTCTTTCTTGTCACAGTGTCTCCTTATGTTTCCATTTCCGAAATTCGATCAATATTTTATGTATCTTGGAATATTTGAATTTCTATCTCGCGCCCTGGAGAAAATGGGAAAAAACTCGATTTCCCGAAGAAAGCCTCCCCCAACCCCTGTCTCCTTCGTGCGGGTCAAATGTGGAGTGCATATTGGTAAAAAGCTACTTGTTGGGTTCGAAAAATTAGATTCGAAGCATTTGACTGCCGTTGCCTTTCAATATTTAGAACCTTATTTCAATTCAGACACGTTCTTGCTGGTGGTAGAAAATGTACATATATTGCTTTACAATGTATAAGATGTGTTTGACATAAATTTTGGGGGACTTTGAAATCGAATGAGTATTAACTAAGATTTGCTGCTATTTGGAGTAAATATGCGATTTATTTTTGGTACAGAACATTTACTTAAAAATAAATTGAAACTGTCCCCTCTATTCCAATTTATGTTATTTTATTCTTTTTCAAATTTGAATTATTTAAAATACACCCAAGTCTTTTTACACGGCATTTTTTTACACGATTTGGAAATAACATAGTTCACCAATATATTTTTTCAGTTCCTAATATTAGTTAACACTCTCCCTATATATATATATATATATATAATCCAAAATATATAAATACACAGATAGCTATAGAGCCTAAGATAACTATACTAAATAGGAAGAAATAAGCACAGTAGTACAATAACAAACTCCTGGCCTTAGAATCCAGGATTGCAGGTTTAAACAAGTTTTAGGGCTAGCCAACCTTCACCTGTAATTTGTCATACTACGTACCAAGAGGAAAGGAAAGAATAACATTAGGAGAAACTTAAATATTATAAATGAAATATAATTATAAATTATACCCTACTAGTATTCACAGTATAGATTTAAATTCGATGCAAAACGTAGATAGTAAGACTTACTTCGGGAGTGTAACAACTGGTTATGTTTCCCGCCAAATACAAGTTCCGCATAAAGTTAAAATTATGGTAGAATAATATAAAAAAGTTTATATATATATATATATATATATATATATATGTGTGTGTGTGTGTGTGTGTACTTTTAAAAAAACATAAATATATATTGATATAAATATTAGAGGAAAATATAAATGAATCCTAGAAATATTTAAATAATTTTATTAATTTATTAAACATGTGGCGGCATCTATTTAATAATTGTATAATTAGTTAAAAATATCAGTAATGAAACATAATGTCAATAAGTTATTAATACAAATTGTATATCTTTGAGAACTATTGGAAATATAATTGTAAAGAAAGTTAGTTATTAAAGAAAGTTATTAATATTTAAATAAATTTTGGCTTTATCACTAACTAAAACATTATTACGATAAATATGGTTAAAAATAATATTTCTATATATAGATATTGATAAATTTGAATTCCTGTAAGGCACTTTAAGAATGTTAAAATTAAAGGCGTCTCTTTTATCATAAATATTACTATGTAATTTCAAATCCTTAATATACAATGTTACATCTATGTAATTAGTTTTAATTGGATTTTTATTAATTTTAACTAAGTTTAAGTAAGCCGTATAAAAATTAATATTGGGATTTAAATTATAATTTTTACCAAAAATAATTAAACCATCTATATATCTAAAAATTTAATAGTCATTATTAATAATATAATTATATTCATAAAAGTGTAAATATAAATTAGCCAAACTATTGCTTGCTGGGCCTCCTTCTGGCAAGCCTTTATTTTGTTTACATTAATTTTAATGGGGTTCATTATATAATTTTCATTTAAGACAAAATGTATGAGAGTTTTAAATTTGTTAAAATTAATATTAAGATTATAAATATTGTGGTTTTCTAAAATTACTTTAATAATATTATTGATATCAATGGAATTGAAAAGATCTTCAAAGTCATAACTATGAACTGAATAAATATTTTCATTTTTAAAAAATCTGTAATATCTTTACTATTTTTAATTAAAGCTTTATTACATTGCTGATCAATAAAGTTTTGTATAATATTATGAAGTAATTTGCCTGCAGTAGTAATATATGTTTTAAAACCATTTGTCACAGTTCTAAATTTAACAGGACTTTTATGGAATTTTGGTGTTAAAAATATATATGGATACTTAATTTTAGGAACACAAAAACCTAATTTTTTTTATAAATATCAATAATACGATTACTAATTTCATTATGTGACAAATCTAATTTTTTAAAAGATTCATTATTTAAAAAGTGTTCATTAAGCATATTATAATAAAAATTCTTACAAATCACAGTATAGTTACCAGGTACTTTATCAACGTAAACAATGATAAAATTCTTTTGTAATTCACAAATTTTCTGTTTTATGCCTTTAAAAGTAGTTTCATATTGAGAATGGTAGCTAAATTTCATAAGGTCTTTTAAAATATTGTACTTATACTCATCAAATGCCTTTATAGGTAGTCCATATTTAATTGCAGATTTTGCAATAAAATTATCTATATCTTTATTAATTTGTGTTTTAACAGTATTGTTGTTACTAGAAACAGTTAATCTAAAACTAGTGCCTTTACTCATTATATCCTTCAAAATTTTGTCATTGATTATGTCTAAGTTGCCAGTAACTACATGTTTATGATGACCGTCAATAAAATCATTATAGTTTTTACATATACACACAATCTTCTATGTTAATAGAAGGCGAACTATTATTGTAATTAAAGATAAGTTTTGTTATATTTAAATGCTTTCTTAACAACCACATTTCTAACAGGGGAAAAAGTGACAAATGTCTATTAAACACATTAGAAAAATTAATTTTGTCAAAAGTTTTATTCGTGAATGATAAAGGGCAGTACTCTGTAATAGGTTCATTAATTTTCTCAACATTTATTTTGAATTTATTAACTAGATAATTATAAACATCTTTAATTATGTGTACTGCATGACAAACCTTTAAGGAATCATTATTTAAGGTATCATTTAACAATACAATTTCATTTTTATTAAGACCAAACATGAAGTATTTGATATTCTTGATATTAAAGGGTTTTTTTCAAAATCATCAATAATAACTTTAATATTGTCATTTAATGATTTTTTATCTCTATTTTTCCTTTTAGTTCTTTTACTTCTAGATTTTCTTTTAGAATTATTATTTAAATTGTTAAAAAACATTATAAAATATTCTTTATTATTACTCTGTAACAGTATTTGCAAAGTATTTTTAGCAAACTACATAACATTAAGACACTATGGATGTATTGTATTAAAACTCCTAATAAAGTGATTTTCCCACCATAATCTGCGCTTAGTATTTGGAATAATTTTAATGATAGACAATTCAACATTTTTGAAATCATGCATATGAAAGTGTCTAAGCTCAATTTTATTAGAATTATTGGAATTATTAAAGTATTTGACATAATGTCTATGTTGATTAATCCTGATGTTAATAGTATTAGAGGTCTGTCCAATATATTTATACTGACAAACTTTAAAATTTAAAAGGTAAATACAATTAAAAGTTTTACATAGGTTAAATTTAGATTCACAATCATACTGATCCTGATTTAACATAGTGCAAGTCTTACATCTACTATCTCTACATTTATTGAATTTTAACTTAAGACTATTATAAGATTGAATGTTTTCATAATTGTAAGAAGATAATTTATCTTTATTTCCATGTAATGCAGGACTCTTAATGTAGCTTTTATTAATATTTTGTGTAATGTAATTACTAGAATCTAATATGTTTAGTTTAATATGATTATTATGACTGTTAATGAACCTTTTGTTCCAAAAAATTCTTGTCTTGAATTGTTTAATATTAGTATTACTATTACAATCATTAAATTCTCTAACAGAAATTGATTCCTTTCCCAAATTGTCATTAGAGAATGAGTTATAAAAATCCTTCATCCTAATAACTTAACAAGTCAAAATTTAGTCAAATATTTCTGTATTTAAACCAAAAATTGATATCAAGTCAAAAGAGAGAGTGTGTGCCAAAGCAAAACAAAAACAAGTTAATTTTTAAAAAAACAAATTTGAAAGTAATCTCTCAAAGGCAAAAGAAAGCTATGCTAAAAACAAAAACAAAGCTAAGTAAAAAAAATATTCCAACACCATAGAAAAAAAAGATAATGGAAAATTACAAGGAGAAAATCGCTTTCTATTTTGCCCCTTAATATTATGATTCTGTCATATGTATATACATATTTTAATTAATTGTAATTATTTAATAAAAAGTGCCTAAAATAAAAGTTTTCTTTGTTGACCTAAGTAAGAATTGACTTAAAAAATTTTTATATTATTTGTTAACTATTAAAAAGGTAATATTGAGAGACAGATCCAGTTCGTATTAAACGTGCACACTTGTTATCAAGTAGCAATGAGTAGTTG